CTTGGAGGAAACTGCTCTCGAATCTGTGAATACCTCAGCTGGTGTTGCCAGCAGAGTGTCAGTCAGGTCAGATCTGATGAACTGAATCTGGTTAGTCACCTCCAGACAGTCATGCAGGGTATCTGCAGGGTTGTTGTCTGGTAGACCAGCAGGGTTGAGGGCTGACGTCATCATCATATGGAACTGAATGCATGACTGATCAAGAAGCAGGGCTTGGTATTGGGTCACCTGGGCATTAGACATCATCTCACAGGTGCCCCCTCAAGAAGGCCTCAACAGTGTGTGGGCTGTCAGGAACAGTTCTTGCCCTAAAGTTAATTTGTCAGCTTCCTTTACCAACAGGGTGCTGATAGCTGTAGCCCTAATACATGCCAGCCATCCAGATGAGACTGGGTCAAGTCTCTTAGGCAGATACATCACTGGTCTTTTCCAAGGTCCTGGGATTTGTGTGAGGACTTCTTGGCAGTGCTTCTGACATCATCCACATGCAAATGGAATAGCTTAGTTCCATGTCTGGGAAAGCAAGAAATCAGGGCCTTTTCCAAGACTTCAGAGGCCCTCTGCTCAGTCCCAATCCATCCCAAAGGCTGCATACCCCCAGTGCTGGCATAGAGGTTCTTGGATATCTCAGCAAATCCCATTATCCATAGCTGACAGTGTCCCGTCGCCCACAGGAGTTCTTTACCTTTGTTTTTATGTGGGAGTGGGGATTTGCAGGGGGATAAAATGTGGTTATGGGAAAGCATCCGCTTTCCTTCCTCTAGGTTGTAGCCTAGGTATGTCACCTGAGGGGCACATGGCTGAGATTGCACCCCAGGGCTTGGAGAGTTTCTAAAAGGCCCCGTGGTTCCTGTCCATGTCCATCCTCAGTGACCGAAGCTATGAGGAGGTCATTTGCATACTCAGGCAGGGTGCTTTGTAGATATTTTTATCTAAGTTCCAACAGATCTGCACATTCAGGGCTTCGTCAAACAGTATTGGTGAGTTTTTGAGCCCTTGCATCAATGAGTCCATGTTAGTAGGGCATCATATCCTCCCTCTGGGTTAGTCCATTCAAAAACAAATATGGGACGCTTGCTAGGGCCAGTGGGAGGCGGAAGAAAGCATCTTTGAGATCTAGGACCATACAGATCTTTCTTTCTCAGGGCACCAAACTCAGGAGGATGTAGGGGTTTGGGACTGCATAGTAGATGATTTCCACCCACTTTTAACCTTCTTAAATCCTGTACTGGCTGGGAGTCCTGAGTGTCAGGTTTCAGGAAAGGAAGCAAGAGAGTCTTACAGGAGGAGTAGCAGGGGACAAGAATTCCTGCCTCTCTTGACGTGTTTGACGATCCCTGGCTCGGCCTCCTTGGGTATTACTGTTTGACCCACACCAGTGCTGAACTATAATGGGTGGCCAGCAAACTGCTAAGCCCTGCGGGTTCCCCTTGGCCCAAACATCAGGGTCCCTTGCTTTGGATTCTCACAGGAAGCCTGAGGCTAGCTCTTCCCTTTTGGTGCCAACTCCTCTTGTAAGAGGTACTCCTTGAACAGAGGAGAAGTGACCAGAATATTGGTAGGTGCTTGGCCAGAGTCCAGAGTTAAACTGGTCGAGTTCCCCTCAGAAGAGATGGTGTCTGTGAGTTTTGTGATAAGTCCCTTCTAGTGAATGGGTATGGACAGTCTGACATAACCAGAAAAGAATGAGTCACAGCATCTTGTCCTACGTCTCTGGTCCAGGAGGCTGTCCATGGGAAGTAGGCAGTTTGGCCTCTGCTCCTTGGATTGCTATCTTCCTGGAGGTGAGGGTCCAAAGGGCTTTGTCAAGACAGAGTTGGGTACTCTGGTGTCTCTTAGAAAGTTAATGGGTGTGCCCCTCACTCTTGCTGTAATCCTGGATTCCTGGGGGCAGAGTTGTCCGTTTTCAGCTAGCTGAGGATGGGGCAGCTCTCCTCTTATTCTTTCTGCTTGGACATTCATTCTTCCAGTGACCCTTCTGCTTACAATAGGCACACTGTTTTTCCCCAGATGTTTTCTTTCCCTTTCTCCTGGTCTATTTCCCCCATTTCCTCTCCTGTCAGTTTCCCTGAGGGCAGTGATTACCCCATGGGAGAGTTTCTTTCTCTGCCAGTCTTCAGCTGAGTCTCAGCTACTGTAAACTTTCTAAAAGTTGAGACCCACTCACCCTTCAAATTCCTCTAGTTTCTGGAGCTTTCCCTTATCCCTGGGACCAACTGCACGACAAAGGCAGTATTGATGGCTCACTGGTTTGTAGGGACACCTGGGTCTAGAGAGTAAATGCGACTCACAGAGCCTTTCTAGGAACCCAGCGGGTGACTCATCAGGCTTCTGATTCTGACTTACCTTATACAAGCTGACTGACCACAACAACATTTGGTAGGAAGTCTCCAATCGCCTCTTACCTTCATTGGTCTCAGGATCCCAACTGGGTCAGGTAGAGGGGAAGTTCTCTCCACCCAAGCCTCTGCATTAGGCAGTGTCCCACCGCCTGGGTCCAGAGCCAACTTCCTACTTTCCAGCCAGATTCAGTCTCACTCCTCAGCCATAAACAGTGAGAAGCTGCTGACAATCATCCCAAGTCAGATGGTGTGTTGAAAACAGTTTCCAGCAGACTGATAAGAACCTGCAGCTTCTCAAAAAAAAAAAAAAAGGTATATAAAAAATGATATAAATCATTAGTGGTGAAGGGCATAAATGTGGGCAGGGGACTTCTTCCTTCCCCCTGTTCTTCCCCTTGTCTGTAACAGGGTTCTGGAGCTTCCCACAGGAGGAGAATGGAGGATATCTCACAGCCTCAACAAAGCTTGTCTGATCTCCCTATAGACAGAGCCACTTGGGGTGTGTGACACAGAGAGAGAGAGAGAGAGAGAGAGAGAGAGAGAGAGAGAGAGAGAGAGAGAGAGAGAGAGAGAGAGAGAGAGAACCAAGTATAGTAGAGTCAGTCTTCTGGCCTCCCCTCCAGAGAGGATTATTTTCTCTGGCTCCTCTCACATTTTCTGTTGGTCCATTCAGAACACAAGGAGGCAGAATTCTGTTTCTTCAGATGGAGCAGGGAGAACCTGTGGTACTTTTAGCTTCTCCAGGTGTTCCAGCCAGACCAAGAGACCCCTGATTCCCAAAGAAAGAGCCCAAGTTTTTAACCATGGGGATGGATGAAAAGTCAGGGTTAGCCAATGATGGGGATGACTAGGAGCCTGTATTGAAGATCCGATGACACCAAATGGCAGTACTTCATGATTATGGGGAGAGTTAAAATTTTGCAATCCAGAGCCAAATTGCCTTGGGATATTGTTTGCAAGTCATGTGTTTGCCACCTGTGTTTGACCTGACATCCCCGTGACAGTCAAAACTTTAAAATGTATTCTTAGAAGTACACTGGCTCCACCACTCGGAAACCTAAGAATGTCTTCAGACAGCATCTGAAGCCTCTTGTTGGTTCCCCCGCTGTAGTCCTGTCTGTGGTCCTGTCTGTGGTCCTGTCTGTGGTCCTGTCTGTGGTCCTGTCTGTCTGTGGTCCTGTCTGTGGTCCTGTCTGTCTGTGGTCCTGTCTGTGGTCCTGTCTGTCTGTGGTCCTGTCTGTGGTCCTGTCAGTCTGTGGTCCTGTCTGTGGTCCTGTCTGTCTGTGGTCCTGTCTGTCTGTGGTCCTGTCTGTGGTCCTGTCAGTCTGTGGTCCTGTCTGTGGTCCTTCAGTGTGTTTGGTAAACACTTAGAATCATGACTTTTTTTCTTCTATAACTGTCTCTCATAGAGCCCCTGCCACGGTGTTACATGATATTTGGAGAAACCTGAGTTTCACAGTTGGCCCCCCAGTGAGCTCTCTCTTACTCCTTCTGAAGTGAGAACCATGGTTTTGAGGTATTGAGAAGCCCCTCTATGATACTGAAGCCTCTAAGACCAAAGTCAAGGAGTTTTCAATCTTCTAAGAATAGGAGATGACTGATCTTCTCTCAACAAGTTAAAACTCCTGCAGTCGTGGCATGGAATTCCTATTTCTCTTGTATTTTTCACAACTCTGCTCTCACATGCTGCCTACCCTCCATTCATCCTACAAATAGTTATTGACTGGGCAGAGAACAAAGTGGATGATGACCCCTGTTCTCAATGAGTGTGCATGATAGGCGAACACAGACAATACACAGGATGAATAAATAAAATATGTAGCATGGTGGACAATGATAATTTCTAAGATTACAAATAAAGGGGCAGACAATAGAGGAAATAGTGGGTAGGAATCATTATTATTTCTCTAAAAAAGTGACATTAGGTTAGAAGCTCAAGGAAATGAAAGAAGCGGGTGTTAGCTCATTTTCCACCTCTGTAACAAGTATGTGAGAGAGGTTATTTCAGCTCACAGGTTTGGAGAGTTCAGACTATGATTGGTTGGCCCCATTGTTTAGGGCCTTTAGCAAGACAGCAGATTGTGGAAGGAGCCCACAGTGGGGTAAAACCGTTCACCTCAAGCCTGGGAACGGAGAGTGAGAAAGGGCAGGAGTCCCACGGTTCCCTTCTGGGCACCCCCAGGCCCCTGACTTCCACTCAGATGACTCCACCAGCTCCCAATAGGGTCACCCTGGAGACTGAGCCTTGGGCCTCTGAGGAACACTGTGGAGACCTGGGGGAGGGGCATTCCAGAAACAGGTGCAATGCCCTGGGGCTAGCGCCTTGGTGGTCTGTGTAAGGAGCATCAGGAGCATCCCACTCTGGTGGGAGGAGCATGAGCAAGGAGGAGCTGAGGGCAGGGAGATAGAGTAGGGGCAGGTGAGAAGAGGAGGAGTTTCCCCATCCTCAGGAGCAGGCTGACAGGATCTGACCCTGCCTGCCTGCCTCCAGCTGCGGTATTAGAAGCAATCTGAGGACTCCAGGGCAGAAGTGGAGAGCCATGAGGAGGAGGCTTGTGCACTGAGAATGAAGCAGAGGTGTCTAGCCTCAGCCTAGGTTAGAAGGCCGATTCAGCCGCCATTTGTTAGGGGAAATATTGAATTACATCTTTTTGCCAGCATCATGTTGACCGAGAGAGCAGCCAACGGGACGCTGCTTTTGGACCTGAACAAGTTCTGCTTTGATGATGACAGCGAAGCTCCAAACAACAAATTCAACTTCACCACGCCATCTGGAGTGGGGAGCAGCCGCAGATTTTCACAGCATCCAGCTGGCTCTGGGAGAATTGTGGTCAGTTCATGGTCATTGCCTCATTAAAAGGACACTGGGGAAGCTGGTCCAACATGCATGGTGCTTTTGCTACCCTGCAGAGAGAAATTTGCAAGACAGCCTCCTCTCAGAGCCACCATAACTGACAGACTTAATAGTGGCTGTGCGCTCCTGTCGGCTCTTTATTTTTCTCAGGCTTCAGCAGCATTCATTTCGCAGAGCTGTGCTGGGGGCTGAGGACTTTGCCTGCCTTTCCTTTGCATGCCTGTTTAGTGAGCCGTTATAAACATGGCAGTGCCCTTGGTGCACAAGCTCTTCTGTTACTTGAGGTGCAAGGGAGAGAGAACAGCCTGAGCCGTCTTGGTAGATTCTGCATCACAGAACCACCAGGGACCCCACAGAGCACAGAACAAGGAGGGAGTGGAAAGTCTGCGCAGGAGCAGAGGCAGAACTGGACGATGGGTATGAAAGGCGAGGTCCAGCAAGGTTGTGCGGCTTCTGTTCACACAGGGCTCCTGCTGCAGGGTGTGGGGAAAAGAGCAGAAAGGAAGACTATGGCAGGAGTCGTGAGAGGTATTTCCAGCAGACCTTGGAGATGACAGCAAGCTGCCCACCACTTTTCTCCTTAGCCTGCCTCCTTTTCTACCTCCCATCTCAAGCTGTCTTCAGTCCCCTAGAAAGTCACGGTGTCATTAAAAAAAAAAAAAAACTAATTTCAATTTTTGGGAAATTCATATTTTTCTTAGTTTCTTAATCCATAGCCACCATTTAAAATACAGAAAACACTGAAGAACATTACCATATGGGAGTGAACACTGTCAACATCTTGACACATTTTTCATTTCTATGTGGTTTTATGTATCTAGATATATTTGTATGAGTATATTAAATAATAGAAACTATTCCTGTATAAAGGGTTTCCTTTTGTACTTTTCTTTAACTGTTCTGGAGGTGTGAATCTTGTTTGTTGGGCAATAGTGCTAGCTGGGCAGACGTCTTTAGAGATAGATTTTTCTCCTTTGGTAAATTCTTCTGAGTTGTCTAGCTACACTAGAGTTATGTCTCAAAACACCTCAAATGCCCCAGCAAACTGTTTCCCCAAGGATGCTGGCGATTTACACAGCCACTAACTATATGAAAATAGATTCGTCGGTTCAATAATATGACTGTTTATCCTATGTAATCTAGTATCTCTGTTTTGACCTAGTTAATTGGTGATCTAGATTATGAAAATCCAAGCAACCTAGCAGCTGGCAATAAGTACAGTGTGATAATCCAAGTGCAAGATGTCGCCCCTCCGTACTATAAAAGCAAGTACCCTTTGGTTTACTTCAGAGGGCATCTCCCCGGGCATCGATGACTGAATTGCATTAGATACTTCTAGGTATTGGGCACATGGTCTCTTGTTACATCCACCAATCAGGCCCCAACAGCTACTTCCTTTTTGGCTGAGATCCAGCGTCCTCAGGGTCTCTCTGCCTCCCGCCCTCCCCACTCTGCTTCTCTACTTCTGTCAGTGGTTTTTCAGGAAATACAAAGGCCAGCGTAGAACTTCCCTGAATGCGTGTTGCAGTTGTCAAGTTCACTTTTAAACTCTTTGGTTTGGCATACAAGCACTTCCAGGATCTGGCTACGGCCTAACTTGCTAGTGGTACCTCCCATCCCTCCCCCATCCAACTTTCTTTTCTTCAGGGGCAGCTGCCCTGCAGAATCACAGTTTATACTGTGGTGTTTTTGGTCATGGCTAGGACGCTCCCTCCATTCCCATAACACCCCCTCTCCACACTCTCCATTTCACACTAGCCTAATCCCACACTGTCCCACACTGTCCTCTGTCCCACACTGTCCCACACTGTCCTCACACTGTCCCACACAGTCCCACGCTGTCCCACACAGTCCCACACTGTCCCACACTGTCCCACACTGTCCCACACTGTCCCCACACTGTCCTCTGTCCCCACGCTGTCCCACACTGTCCCACACTGTCCCCACACTGTCCTCTGTCCCC